TCCCATGCTCTATTACTGATAGATGATAAATTACATATAATGCAATCGATATCATGATAAACTGCCATGTGCTATGTTATTCGGACCCTTTATTTTACATATGATCAAAGTCAAGTATGAAAATGCATTCTTCAAATCTATGAGAAATGTTAGAAAAAGTTGAGCATACCTGTGCTAATTCAGTATATTAATTATAGATTTTACCTTTTCTCCATCCATTGTTGCATAATTCAATTTATTCCTAGAATCTGGGTCTTTAACCATGGTTTTTAATTCGGTTTGAAATATATACGTCCTAGGTTCAGGTTACTGTAACCATGGCCGAGCCGGTCGTGACAACATGCGTAAAAGAACAGCAAAAAAAGTATCAGTATCCAAATCTCACGAGCTATCAATGAATCGTAGTCCACAGTTGCCAATAAAAAAGGCACACGACAAACTTGCAAACTAACACCCTAGAACAAAACACAGAAAACCTCCAAAAAACGCAGCCAATATCCAAACTAAGCAACAAATAAAACGAAACCAACAACATCAAAGACCAACATCATTACACCGAAATACCTAGAGCGAAAATAACAACAGTAGGGTGCCTGCAAAAATCTGAAGTAGATAAGCACAAATGAGGTCACTTACTTTTCACCCACATTCCAGTCCTCAACACAGAAGAATCATATACTCTTCACCTGTGCGTATATCCACCGAAACAAGGTGAAACAGTGAAGCAGATGGGCAAAGCAGCGAAGCAACAGATTTGAAGAAAGGAATTTGCGAGATCGACGAAGCAACCAAAAAAGGACTGAGATCGGCAGAAATTAATTTCTAGGTTGGGGTAAACGGAAGAAAGGAAGTAAAGGAAAACAGAAAGAAAAGAAGATGACAAGGGCTAGGGGTTTTAGTAGATAAAAACTCAAACTTTGCGGCGTTTTCAAATTCAATTGCCACTAATATCTTAGGTAAGAACAAAAGTACCCAAAACACAACATTTTGAATGGATCAAGAAGAAGAAAACCCAATAAAGTGTGAGTCTTTAGCGGCGTTTGTATAAAAATGCCACTAAAGTACGAGTCTTTAGCAGCGTTTTTTTATAAACGCCACTAAAGTACAAATATTTAGCGGCGTTTGTGTTAAAACACCATTAAAGTACGAGTTTTTAGAGGCGTTTTTCTAAAAACGCCATTAAAGTATAATATTTATTGGCGTTTATATAAAAACCCCTAAAGTACGTGAAATTAGTGGTGTTTGTGTTTAAAACGCCACTAAAGTATGACTGTTAGCGGCTTTTGTATAAAAACGTCATTAAAGTAAAGTATTTAGCGACATTTTTATAAAAACGCCACTAAAATACATTATTTATCGGCGTTTGTTCATAAAACGCCGCTAAAAATGATGCTAAAAACCCATTTTGCTGTAGTGTATGCATGATATATATGAAAAGACTAAAATATCCTTAAGTATGTTTTGTCTATTTTTTGAAATTTTTTGTTCTCGGTTAACATATGGATGCATGAGAAAATTTTGTTTTATTCATACTCATAAATAATTTTTAAAAGAGAATATGTACTTATCATTACGATGATTAATGTAACATTTGATATTTGAGTTGAACCGAAAGTCTATAGCTAAGAAAGCAACAAAATTTTAAGAAATCAAATAATTTGTTTGCGGTTGATTGAATCACATGTAGAGTAGTCTCGATTTGATCCCGAGATAATATCTATTTAACTTTTTGCTTTTAAATCTTACTATATACGAATTTGATCGTCAATCATATGTATTTTAATTTATTAATTTAAATTCCGTTAGTTATTGGATGATTTATGAATACAAATTTATTCCGACGATAACTCTCCGTATAATTGTAACCCTAAATGCATTTTTGCTTTGTTTTGCAGGTGGTTTCTCTAATGGAGAGAGAGAATGGAATTTCTTCATTCACACGGAAGAAAATTTTCAGAACGGAGCAATTCGTACCGCCGGGAATAATTTAGGGTTGTGGAGATTAGACGACGAAAATCCCATATCGGACACAAAGGGAAATGCATTAGCCACGAAGTCTAATCTCATCTATTTCTTTAAAGGTTTGAAGATATCACATTGGAAATTAGATGAAATTCGATTACCTATTGAGTTTTACCATCTTCGCAATTGTAAGGTACATAATATAACATCATGGTGTGCCGTTTACTGTTACTTTTTATATCGGTAAAAGGGTAACTTTTGCCCTTATAATAGATCTAGTTTATTATTTTTGTTTCTATCGTATTTTCGCATCAATTTAATTTTGATGTTGTTTAATTGCATCATTCTATACTTTATCTCTCACTTAAAACCCTAAATTGAGAAATTTAAGTTAGAGATTAAGGCTTAAGGTTTAGGGTTATCAATTTAGGATTTTAATTTAGGAGTAGAATATAAAATGATACAATTGAATAATTTTGAATATTAAATTGATGTGAAAATACAATAGGGATGAAAAGCGAAGATGACCCTTAAACTTTTTATATTTTTAAGATGACTTGTCATGTCAGGTCAGATTATGTTTTGATTGATTTGAACTTAATTGAAATTTAACATGAGTGTTTTATTTCTTCATTAGTTATATGATTCGATTCGAATTTAGAGAGGTTTAACATCGCTAAAAAATTGACCCAGTTTTTAGTAGGGGTGTTTAAATAACCGAACTAATTCAATTAACCGACCGAACTGAATTAGTTCGGTTAATTCGGTTCGGTTACCGAATTAGTTCGGTCGGTTAACGGTTAAGAAAATTTTTAGAATTCGGTTAACGGTTAATTCGGTTCGAATTCTGTTAGTTAACCGAATTAACCGAAATTAAATTTTAAATATTAAATATTTTATATATAACATATGGGCTCAATCCAAACCATTTAAAACCCAATTAATAATTTAAGATCCAATAACTTTTAAACCTAAATCAATATTAATTAGTTTAAAAAATTATATAAAATTTTAATTTTATAATTATATATTATTTAAATTAATTGTAAACTGTTTTTTTAATTAAAAAATATTAAATATATTATATATAACATATGGGCTAAGCCCAAACTATTTAAAACCCAATTAATAATTTAAGATCCAATAAATTGTAAACCTAAATCAATATTACTTAATTAAAAACTTTATCTAAAATTTTTATTTTATAATTATATATTATTTAAATTAATTATAAACTTTTTTTTGAATTAAAAAACATTTAATTTTTATATAAATTAGAAAATTTTAAAAAATTTTCTGTTAATTTGAAAATTAACCGAATTAACCGAAATTTATTCGGTTCGGTTAATATTTTCGAAAAAACAGTTCGGTTCGGTTAACGGTTAAAGAAAAAAAAGTTCGATTAATTCGGTTATGGTTAATTCGGTTCGGTTCGGTTCGATTTTAACCGAATAAACAACCCTAATTTTTAGGGTACAAATATATACTCGACTTTGCATGACACAAATGTATATAAAAAATTATCATTTTTATTATATAAAATAAGCACCTGATTGGAAAAAAATTATAGAGATAGAGGTGTATCATTATAATTATCTATAAACATATAAATGTTAATTATATTATTATCTTGTGTCGGATCTGGTAGAAGATTAAGAGAACCTAGAAAGCAATTATATCTTACAATTTAGGAGGACAATACTGTCTAACTTCAAAATTTAGAAGGGACTAAAAAGATTAAACCCAGTTTTTTTATGTACGACTCCTTTCATCCCTGCAGACACGGACTTTGGTCTCTTTGATTAAATAAAAATTACAATTTTGATCCCTCATAAAAACTAATATTTTAATGTAATACATTTTAACATAGTTTTCCTTCGTTTAGGCGGGAGTATATTTGCAGGAAGGATGGGCTATGGTTAAACTACCAAGAGGAAGAGATTTCGGTTAATTTTTCATATAAGTTTAAATTGTATTTTTATGAATATATATATATATATATATTACTTTTATAAATAAAATTAGTTATACAACCTTACTAATATACTACTTAATTTTGAAAATTCTGGCTTATCTATTACTTCTATAATTGTGTTGTTGTCTGATTAACTCGTAAAACGAACTTAATCTTAGATAAGTATATATAGGACAATACTTATCATATTTAATATAATATGTTGACTTAATCTTATATATTAATTCAAAACTTTTTCAGTAATTCAAAAAACCTAAAAATTCAAGTTTAGAGACCTATTTGGAAAGTGTTGCCAAGTTCAAGGACTCAACGTCATTAAAACCCCTGAAGTTTCATGTCCAGGGACCTATTTGGAATGTGTTGCTAAGTTCAAGGACTCTACATCATTAAAACCCCTAAAAGTTCATGTTCATAGACCTATTTGGGAAGAGTTTCCAAGTTCAAGGACTTAACGTTATAAAAAATACTAAAAATTCAAGTTCAGGGACCTATTTGGGAAGTGTTTCCAAGTTAAAGGACTCAACATCATAAAAAAAACCTAAAAATTCATGTTCATGTACCTATTTGGGAAGTATTTCCAAGTTCAAGGACTTAACATCATAAAAAAAACCTAAAAATTTATGTTCATGTACCTATTTGAGAAGACTTTCCAAGTTCAAGGACTCATCATCATAAAAAACCTAAAATTCATGTTTAAGGACCTGTTTGGGAACTATTGCCAAGTTCAAGGACTCAATATCATAAAAGAAACTTAAATATTCAAGTTTAGAAACCTACTTGGGAAGTGTTGCCAAGCTCAAGGACTCAACATCATAGAAAAAACCTAAAAATTCAAGTTCAGGGGCCTATTTGAGAAGTATTGCAAGGTTCAAGTACTCAAATCATCAAAAAAAACTAAAAATTCAAGTTTAGGACCTATTTTGCATTTTTTTCAAAGTTTAAGGATTTAACAATGATTTACCCTAAATATTCATACTAATTAAAGTGACTTAAAATGCAAATTACCCAAAGCAGAATACCCAGCTCTATATAAACAGAAAACGTCAAAAACCACGACAAAACCAACGCGGTTTTTCGTCAGTAAAACCACCAAAAGACCGTACGAAGATTGTTCAAAGCCCGCGACCTTGTTGATATATCTGTTTAGTCTCCTCCCTTTTCTCCCTTTCTTCGATCTTCTTTTTTGGATTAAATCTTAGAGGAAAGTGGGGGGGAAAAGGAAATTTTCAGAAAGGTTGAAAGATGGGATGTTTTCAAAGTAGAGGTGCTGATTCCAAAGCTAATAGGATTGCTCGATGGCGATCAACCGGCATTGTTGCTTTACGTGACGCCAAATTGAAGGCAAGACAATTTTCTTTCTTGGGCTCCTCATTTTTTTTATTCGTTTACATAATTCACAATTCAAGTGTTTGTGTGGAAGTATATTAGCGTTTTAGGTGATGATGATTTCTGGGTTTATCTTAATTTGTTCGATTCATTGTTGTTTCATGGTTTTTAAGAGTGCTTGTATTGGTTATATGATAGATCGATTCCTTTACACAATTAGTTTTAAATGATTTTAAATTCCGGTTTAATTTTGTTTACTAATAGTTTTGGAGAATTACAAATTAGAAAGGCTTTCTTATTGGAGAATTGAAGGCCTGAGTTTGCATTTAATCAAAATTGCTAGTGTTTTAGTTATTAGTATATTTTTGATAAATTACAATTACGGCTGAGGAAAAAAAACCCAGAAAACCAAACATTGATCCCTAGCATTTGGTGTGTTTTTTTATTGAATTTGTCCCATTTCTGCTAAGGTGGTAATAATTTATTATTTTTGGCTTGTTTCGGTTTGCGGTTTGTTTGTTAAAAAACTGCTATTATTCCGACTGAACTGAAATGAACTGAATTTTTTAATTTAACTTATTGTAATATTAAAAACATTTTTTTTCTTTAAATCAGTGAAAGAAACCTTAAAAATACTACAAAAATGACTTGTTTTAAAGGGAAAAAAAATCAAAACCGATGAACCAAACCAATCCTAGACAATTGAATTCAGTTTAAATGGCAAACAATGAAAGCCTTTGTTCAAATGAATTTGTTATTCAGATTTTATTCCATATTGATTGAGAAAATATGGTAGTTCAAATGAATTCTAATACGGCATTTTTTCAATTGTGCGTCTGCTGATGAATGCTTTGACTTGAACAGACATTTCCAGATGAAGTTCTTGATCTGGATAGATCTGTGCGAACACTTGATTTAACGCACAATAAATTAGGTATGTCCTCTCCCGTCTTAAGAACTTTCATTAGAAAAAAACTCTTAAACAGATTAGTGAATCCTTAGTTTTTACTGTTATTAATCAATCTTGTCATTCTACGCAGTTGAAATACCTATGGATATCAGCAACTTAGTCAACATGCAGCGTCTGGTAAGAATTACACACGTTTTGTTTGCGATATTTATAGATGTCGAATAATGCTGTTTTGATGTTGAATTAATGATGAAAAAAAGGCGAAAAAGTGATGTAACGGCTTACTTCATTCTTTCTGTTTCTGCCACTTTCACCTTTTGGTAACTTTTTGCACATTCATAACTTTTTGGGACACTAAATGTGCTCTTACATATAAAAATTACATTCAATTTAAATATTTTATTGAACAGTTGTATGTCCTTGATAGCATATTTGGCTTATTGTGATGGATGAAAAGATTTTAATTCTTTTCCTAAAATCAAGGTAGTGAAAGATTAGCTGTCTTTTAAAGTATTTCTTTCTTTTTTCCCCTTACAGATTTTAGCCACTAATCTTATCGAGCGACTACCAATTAATCTTGGGAAGCTTCAGGCTCTAAAAGTTATGATACTTGATGGGAATCAAATTACTTCCTTGCCTGATGAATGTAATACCCTTTTCTAAATAAGTAAGAAAAGTCTATTATATACCCATTTCTTTGCCTCCATCGTTTGCAGATTTGCTTCACGGCAATGTCTGCAAACTTCATGGGGTAAGTGTACTGTGTCAATGGCTTCTAACTCCATTCTTCTGTCCAGTGGGCCAGCTGGTAAGACTTGAGAAGTTATCGATCTCTGGAAATATGTTAATGTCCTTGCCCGAGACTATTGGCAGCTTGCGCAATGTAAGTGACTCTACTTATTGATTATTTAACCTCTTGGAACTGTTCTTGATACTTGGTTTTGCATCTTTGATTGGTTTAAGAACCAGTAATAACCTCAAGATATCCAAGTTAATCTTATTTTGATTTTTGTGAGTAATTATATTGTTAAATGTTAATGGAGAAAAAGAATGCTAAGAGGGATTAGACATTTGTTAAAGTGACAAGTAAGCCAACTATAAATGAGTATGGTATGCTGGTATATCATATGTTTAGAATGTTTTAGATAATTTATGGATCTAATTTACGTTGCTTAATGCAGTTGTCATTGCTTAACGTGTCTAACAACAAGTTAAAGTATCTTCCTGAATCAGTTGGGAGCTGCTTTTCTTTGGAAGAACTGCAAGCAAATGGTATGTTTATGCTCACATATTTAAAGGTTCTAACTTTTCTACTAAAACTGCTTGTCTGCTTTTAAAAGATCATCTGTTAAATAAGTTTTTTGGAATTTTGGTTCGGGATTCTGTCTTGTTTGACGATGATTTGTCTTTGGTTTAGTAGCATCATGGTTGGTTTTGAAAATCTTCTGGTGTGTTTATTGGGAAATGTTTCATACTGTAGTTGGGATATTTTTTTGAGCTACATAAGATCTGGCCTTGGTCCTCCAGAGTTGGGATGCATACAGCATGGCCTGGGTAAAATAAAATGCTAGTGTGAGGTTTTGTGGTTGTCATTTTGTTGATAGGAGATGAAAGGGTCCGTGGCTGAGTAATTAGTGACTACAATGGTTGTGGTGGTACACCTTCATGTATTTCCATCATATTTCTATTACTTATGGGTTCATAACTTTGTGTAAATTTGCAGATAATCTTATCGAAGAACTTCCTGCATCTGTTTGTAATCTTGTTCACTTGAAGTCACTTTGCTTAAACAATAACAAAATCAGCCAGGTAGTTAATACACAGTTCACACCATTTCTAACTTCCCCTGCTGCGCAACACTAGGTAGTATATATACTATATTTCTTTTTCCATCCCTTGCATAAGTTGTGCTGGTTACCTTCATTACTCAGACTCAGGTGGAATGTCGAATACAAGTATGTGTTCGATAGAAGTATGATTAGAAGTATTCAGAGGATCCTTGGAGGTCATATTCCTGTACCCATGTATTGGACATGAGGTCTGGACACATTTGTTTTGTATTTGGAGAGTTGTATCCCCTTACTTATGGAAATGTATAGGACACAAATGCCGAACATGTGTACTTGAGCAAAAATGAAGAGTTTGAGCAACATAGTTCTTAACCTAAAGAATGTATACTTTCCTTTATATCATTCAATCATACTAAAAAAATAAAGCAGGCATATCTTATCTGGTGGAGAGCTATAGTTCTCTCGTGTATTGACTGCATAGAACCTTGGTTGCTCCAACTATTTATAGTTTTTAAGGTATCCATATTTGTCACGTCTGACAAATTTTCGAATATGGGTATAGGGATTGATCTCCCGAAGATCCTCCCAATACCTAGAAAAACCTCAAAAAATTAAACATACTAGTATCCAACATTTGCATCCGAGTTTGAGTACCATAGCATGGAACTCCTCCTGTGAATGCCAGCTTATACAAATATGAAGTAGCATCTATTCTAGATTCAGGTTACTCAGTGGGAAAAAAATCTGAATGTTAAACTCTGTGAATTCTGTTTAATAAACATTGTTTGAGGCAATTTTTTGTAGTTTGCCTGCAATTTATACACGGATATCTCTTGGTTGACAGATTCCTCCTAATTTATTGAAAGACTGCAAAGCTCTTCAGAATATCTCGCTGCACGACAATCCTATCTCAATGGATCAGTTTCAGCAAGTAAGTATCTCCATGATTTAGTGCTAGATATGGTTCAGGTTTCCTGGGGGAAAATGCTAAAGCTTCATATGTTTTAACTAACAAAAAAATTACTTCTTCAGATGGAAGGGTTCCAAGAATTTGAAGCAAGAAGAAAGAAGAAGTTTGACAAGCAAATTGATTCAAATGTGATGATCGGTTCGAAAGGCCTCGATGAGGTGTTGATCTATAACTCTGCTGCATTCACAGTTCTGGTAAGATCGAGTCTTACAGCATTAAGGTTATAGCTCATATAAGGAAACATATATTCAAGAAATAGCAATTTTTTTTCTCTGGATTGAAGCATGTGCGATTAATTTTAATGTTACTATGATGGTACTCGATATGAAGCTCTCTGTTTTCCGGCTGTTAAGTTTAGAGGGCTTTGTGAAGTATCTAGTTTACTTTTCTTGCTATTAACACTACTATTAGATATAAACTGAAGTTATTGGATAAAACAACTTACATGATGTTTGAGTCTTGTTTTATGGCTTCATATTAATTGTTTTTGAACCTTTTGAAATTTAAGACTATAGAATGTATTAATTGTTTTTGAACCTTTTGAAATTTAAGACTATAGAATGCACTACACGAACCGGAATTGGTGAAATCAGTTGTTGATATGTATGACATAAAGCTTATTGGCTACAGAAAGTACTTATGCTAAAACGAACTGCTACTTTAGAGAGAAACTAGGATGCATGCAAAGCCTAATTCAGGTCCTCCTGGGGTTGGAAAAGTAACCCAAATTTGTCAAGTTTCATCCCGATGCGATTATGTAGGGATGGTTTTTTCTTAAACCATGTTTAGGAGCAGGTAGGTGGGGTCTTTTAGTAAAACTTTTTAGGTTGGGTTAGGAAGGTTTTAAATAAAATCCGTCCCATTTTGTCGCAAGATATTTACAAAAATACCTTTATTTTCGTTTTCTTAATATTTGTAAGACTATATAACATGTATTTGATAAGAACTAATGTAATATAAGGTATCAAGTAAAATTTCGGCGTGGGTCGAGGTAGTAGGAATCTTTTCCTTTGAGGATGGGCCTAAAATATCAAAAGAAAAGATCTTGTTTGGGCAGGTGAAGTTGTAAATACATAAAATTCAAATCAGGTCGAGGTTCGAATCCGAACACAGCATATTTTGTTTCTTGTATGCGTGTAAATTCGATCAATGCTTTAATTCAACCATTTGTGTTTCCCTTCTGAACAGATTGGACAATGGTTACATATCTTCAACAACATCAGATATCAAGGAACGTGGATTGGATAGTTTACTAGTTTTTTTCGTTTAAAATAAAATGTATAGTTACAGAATCGAGTTGAATTTTCTCTGTATATGATTGATATTTATAGTTTATATTACCGTTTTTCTTCTGTAATGGGGTTGTAACTTGGGGATCAAGGGATTGTAGATGCTACTGCTAGAACTCGAATCTTGATGTGTAAGATGCTACCTTTTGGAGTAATTGAAACTGATTATATGGATCAACTGAATTAAGTCTTGGATTCATTCTACTATTGGCCGATAATGCTGCCAGCAATTGTCGACGATTTTAGGTCTAATTTTTATTTTTAATCACATTAACAAAATCGTCAACATCTTAGGATGATAATTTTTTTGTCATAGTTGATAACATTTAGAGATTGATTTTAATAATTACAGTAAAATTAAACTTAAATCTTTACATAATTCTCATGTCAATAATTTTCTATCTTTTTAAATACAATAAATTCTCAATTATGCCTCCATGGTAATTTAGGGAGATGAGAAGAGTTAGTTGAGTAGATGTGTCACAATTGTCAATTGATCATGTCTTGGATTCCACGTTTCCAACAGAGCAACCTCCAATAAGCGAAGATGGAGAAGAAGACGCTTCTTGGGAAATGGCTCCTTGGAAAATAAGATGCTATTCAGTCATAGTAGCATTGGAAAGATGAGATTTAGCTTCATGGAGTATATATATATATATAATAGGACCACATGCTGGATTTTATTGCGGATAATGCAACGAACAATATCGTTGTTGAGATCTCAAACAATCGAATCATGCAGGTAAACAAATCTGTGTTTATGTTTGGTTTTCTAATCTTGTCCTCTTCTTTATATTCGCTGCCATTGCAGACAACGCACAAAGCTAAAATGAAGTATCGAGTGGGTAAAGCGGCAGACGAGGAAGAAAAGAAGCCTAGCAAAGGCGACTGAGAGAGCCATTTTGAATAAGCATGAACTGTACAACAAGAGAATGTTATCTGAGAGAATAACTCATGTACGGATCACGACACTACTTGGTGAACATGATGAGGAGGGAAAGTGCTTGTTAATGAATGAGTAGGGAGGGACTGTAGGGTTGGAGAGAAGATTGACCATCCTGAAGCGAAGGCGGCCATTGATGGTTATTTTGAGAGGATGGTGAAGTTGTCCAACGACATGAGATTATCACTTAGGTTCAGCTTCATGTCGATGGATGTTATTAATCTGAGAAACAATGAATGAACGGCTGCAGATGAAGAAAGTAGTTGCAGTTTGCAGGGCCTAAGAGGGTTGCGGAACTGCACATTGAAGGTGTTTGTGTTCGGTTCATTTAAATTTTGTTTAATATTTGACAATCAACACTCTTTTTATCCTTTTATTTGTAAGTTAAGGAAAAGTAATGAAATTGTTTCACCCTTTTATAGGAGACGTGCCCACGTGGTATCTTTCGGAGGATCTTTGTCTATGTGATAGTTCATTTGGTAGTCTCTCTCATTGATGTCACCCAATGTCAAAATAAAAGAAATAAAAAATAATAATATAATAAAATTATATGAATTTTATTCAAAAAGAAATAATGTGTGCGATATGTATTAAATACACACACAAATACTGTTGGTAATGCTCAATCCCACATAGTGTTGGAAACACTATTGGGAATGGTATTTAAGGCTTGACATTCCACTTCCTTGTTGAGTGATAGAGAACAAGGGGGGCTCTTGCGCACCGCCGCCGCCGTCCGTCCGTCTCGGCTCGGCTCGTGGTCGTGGTCGTGGTAATACGTGTCTTCGATACGTATAAAATTCTTGAGGAATTTCTCTTTGAAAGAAACAAATGGAAAATGTGAAAGATATCAACTGATATTTATAGGCTGCTGAGGACTGTTTGAATTTCAAATAATAACAGCTGAATTATTTGTTATCAGAAATTAAACAGTTTATTCCTAAATTAAATCAGAAACGTTAAGATGTACCTGGACTGATTTACAACTTTGTACAGAGGAGACAAGCTGTTAATATCAGGAGTTATTTGATTTAATTCCAGGGGTTACATGATATAATTTCGGGAGTTATAACAGCTGAATAATGATACAATGAACCTGGACTATTTCTGAGTCAGGTTCATCTAGACGTTTCAGCTGTTACAAATAAGAGATTTAATCCTGAAATTTTATAGACGATTTTAACCCTATTTCTAGCCTATAAATAGAGAGCTATATTCAGCTTCTCAATTCATTCAAAAACATTCACAATTCACTTACAAAGTGTTTTCTAAAGTTCTCTCTGAGTGCTTTCCGATCAGAAGTACAATACCACCAGCAGTCCACTCCGGTTTTGGGTGTACGAAATTCGGAGCGACCGTGTTAACCTCGGGGGACGGTCCGCCTACTGTAGCGATTACACACATCGGGGCGAATTCGTTTCTAAGGCAGTGGTTCTTACCACGACACGGTTTACGAATTTGTTCTTCTTAATTACTGTTTATATTTCCAGTCAGTGCTAACGGTGTAGTTTTGCAGTTCATATATCCAATAATTTAGAAACGAATTCCATAAACTGCAATCATGTCGACACCTTTGAGCAAACTCATTCCCGATCTTTCCAAGCTCGATGCACTTGATGGAAAGAACTATAGAATGTGGTCCCAAAGAATTCTGATATTCTTCGAGCAACTTGATCTTGATTACGTGTTGCTCAAGCCACCACCTACCATGCCGTCAACCTCAGCTGCCAGTAATGATGCGGATGCGGTCCTCAATGATGATGCCTTAGCAACTGCCGCCGCCGCTCTCGCTACCTACGAGAAATACGAGAAGGACAACAAGACGGTGCGAGGACATCTGCTCAGCCACATGTCAAATAAACTATTTGATATGTTCCTTAGAGAAAGGAGTGCCAAGTCAATATGGGACACTCTCGACAAGAAGTATGGTGCGGATGATGCGGGGATCAAGAAGTACGTTGTCGACGAATGGCTCAAATTCCAGATGACAGACGACAAGCCAATAATGGATCAAGTCCATGAATATGAGAACTTAGGCGCTGACATCATCGCTGAAGGGATGCAAATGTGTGAGGTGCTGCAAGCCAATGTACTCATTGAGAAGCTGCCCAAGTCCTGGTCCGACTACCGCAACTCTCTTAAGCATAAGAAGAGAGACATTTCGCTTGAAGAACTTGTGGGCCATATGAAGATTGAAGAAGCCAACCGTTTAAAAGATAAGCTTACTAATTCTATGAGTAATTCTATGAGTAATTTATCTTTTAGAGCTAACTTGGTTGAGTCTAAATTTAAGAAGATCATGAAACGTGGGAATCAAGACAAGAAGACGAAACAACAGAAGGCTACCAACTTCAAGAAGTCAGGAAAGGCCAAACCGGAAGGAAAGCCGTTCAAGTGTTATGTCTGCGGTTTACCCAGCCACAAAGCTTACCAATGCCAACACCGCTCAGACCGCCAGAATGACAACAAGCCACAGATGCACGTTGTAGAAGAAGATGATGAGATCATTGCTGCGGTGGTCTCAGAAGTTAATCTGGTGGAGAACAGTTCAGAATGGGTAGTTGACACTGGCGCTTCAAAGCATTTCTGCGCAAGGAAGGAGTTTTTCACCGAGTTCGAGGATGGGAACACTGGTGAACATGTGTACATGGGGAACTCTAGCAGCTCTGAAGTGCTAGGCAAAGGCAAGGTTTTACTCAAGCTGACTTCTGGTAAAACTCTGGCTTTAAATAATGTTATGTATGTACCTACCTTGCGTAGAAATCTGATAAGTGGTGGGCTTCTGAATAAGGCATGCATTAAGTTAGTTTTTGAGGCAGATAAACTTGTACTTTCCCGAAATGGTGATTATGTGGGGAAAGGGTTTTTAAGCAATGGTTTATTTGTCATAGAAACTCAATTTAATGAAAATAAAGCTACCACTTCTGCTTATATTGTTGAATCCATTGATATGTGGCATGCTAGATTAGGACACATGAATATTCATGCTTTAAAGAAATTAATGAATATGAATAGTTTGCCTAAACTAGACACAACTAGCTTTAACAAATGTGAGATTTGTGTAAAAGCTAAGCATACTAGACATCACTTTAAGACTGTTTCTAATAGAAAGACTGAACTGTTAGAACTCATTCATACTGATCTAGCAGATTTTAGAAACACTGAGAGTAAAGGAGGAAAACACTACTACATAACTTTTGTAGATGATTATTCAAGATATACAAAAGTTTATCTCCTAAGAACTAAAGATGAAGCTGAAAACTTCTTTCTTATTTATAAGACAGAAGTTAAAAATCAGTTAGATAGGAGAATCAAACGGGTTAGATCTGATAAAGGTGGTGAATATGGATCTAATTTCTTAAAAGATATTTGTGAAAAGAATGGCATAATTCATGAAACATCAGCCCCTTATTTTCCTCAACATAATGGTATAGCCGAAAGGAAAAATAGAACTTTAAAAGAGATGATGAATTCTTTACTAATAAGTTCCGGGTTATCTGATAACATGTGGGGGGAGGCCATTCTATCGGCAACTCATATCTTGAACCGAGTTCCTCATAAGAAATTAGATTCTACTCCATATGAATTGTGGAAAGGATACGCTCCTAATTTACAATACCTGAAAGTGTGGGGGTGTCTGGCTAAAGTGGGCTTGCCAGACTTTAAGAAGTCCACCATCGGACCTAAAACCGTTGATGCAGTGTTTATAGGGTATGCTACGAATAGTGCTGCATACAGATTCATGCTTTTACAAGATTATTCTATTTGTGAGTCAAGAGATGTTGTTTTCTTTGAAAATACTTTTCCTTTAAAGGAACCGAGAATAAATATTGAAACACAAATAGAATATATTCCATCAAGTTCTTCTAGTAATCCTGCTAGGTCTTCTGAACAAATTGATTTTGAGCCTAGAAGAAGTAAAAGGCAAAGAGTTGAAACCTCTTTTGGACCATACTTTATTACTTCCTTTATTTCTGAGATAAATGATTTAGACTTCATTTCAGATCCTATAGCTCAAATTTTTCTATTAGTTGAGGATCCTAAAACTTTTGAAGAAGCTATAAGATCTATCGATGCTAGTTTTTGGAAAAGCGCTGTTAATGATGAACTAGAATCGATAATGTCTAATCATACTTGGGAATTAGTTGACTTGCCTAAGGGATTCAAACCAATCTCCAATAAATGGGTCTTCCGGAAGAAACTAAGGCCAGATGGTTCGATTCAGCG